CATTTGGCAATCTGTTTAAAATTCTCTAGACATTTCTTCAAAAGTTAAGTGTTTAGTGTTAAAATCCTTAAGTTTGATTTTAGTCCAAGAGTCATGGTTTTTGATTATCTTAGGTCTTATTGACATAGGACTACGTCTTTGATTTCTATACGCACACTAAGATTATTTCATCGCAATCTGTGAAATTTTACCGAAATTTCAACAGCTGAACGTTCAGTAAACAGTTCGGTGATTTTTCACAGATTTCCTGTAATTTTTCACCGAATATCTGTGAAAAATTACAGGAAATCTGTGAAAAATCACCGAACGTTAAGCTGTTGAGATTTGGGTAAAATTTCACAGATTTCGGTAAAATAATCTAAGAGTGTAGAGGTACACTTTATGAAAACCGAAAATGGAACATGTAACAAAATTATGAAAGTTTTTGCACATTAATAACTCAGCTGCCCCTGGACCAATTTCAATAATTTTATCACCAATCGACCAAAAATATTTCTACGCATCAATAGCAATGCTTTCGATAGGAATTTTCAACAAGAAACTATTGAAAAGGTAGTAATGTCAAGCATTGTCCAATGTACAAATAAAAAGTGATAATTTTATCACTGTTTTCATAAAATAAACGTTCTTCCCAAACCCAGTCGCCATAATTGAGTACCACTTGGTTTCACATCATTCTGCTTTAACCTGAAAAGATATAAAAGAGCGCTGCTGTTTAGCCTCAACTAAAGTTGAAAAGACGCATCTGTGTCACTTCAAAAATTCATACATGTAAACCACACAAACACAAGAAATAAAGATCATTTAAAGTAAAAAAAAAAAACAAAAAAGAAGCCTCAACTCATTTTTGATTTGGACGGCGTGGTGAGCAGGCAGCAGAAGCAGCAATAGCAGCAGTAGGAAGGTGATGACAGGTTAGGTAGTCCACTCTTCTACCTAACAAGCAATATGACTGGTCGTGGCTAGAGTCGGTGTATAATGAGTCACGCCAAGGAAAAACAGTTGAACTCGCATCACGGTTTTCGAAAGATTCCCCTTTTAACTTGGCAACAGAGGACTTCTGCATCAACTTCAAATGACTTCTAGTGAGGAAAAAACGGCTGTAGTAAATCATTATATCAGTGATTTTGTCGAATTATCTTAAAGAAAAATAGTAGAAATTGTAATTACTGATCATAACAAAACGTATCGCATGACAAATGTAATGCTCACTGCGTGTATATGATCATTTCTTCGATTATCTTTTATATTTAATTGCAATACCTTTCGTGGACCTTTCATAGCATCGTAATGCTTGTTTACTTTGCACGATAGGTAGCCGGTTTGACTGTTCAATAGGTAGACTTAGCGTGACTCATTATACACCGACTCTAGTCGTGGCAAAGAAGGAAAAGGTCTTGGTAAAGAAGGCGCCAAGCGAAATCGCAAGGTTCTTCGTGATAACCGCCATCCGTCGTCTGGTTCGCCGTGGCGGTGTCAAACGTATCTCCGGTCTGATCTACGAGAAAACACGACGTGTGCTGAAGGTGTTCCTGGAAAATGAGATCCGTGATGCTATCACCTACACTGAACACGCCAAGCGTAAGCGTCCATGGATGTCATCTACGCTTTGAAGCGACAGAGACGCACTCTGTACGGTTTCGGAGGTTAAATCATCACCAACTTTGCCAACAAAACGGCCCTTTTTAGGGCCAACAAGCCTGTAATAAGCTGTTGGAATAGAATTTATCAGTGTACATATTCAGAACCATACGCCTCCAATGACCATGCTCTCCATAGTTGTAATCTTGTAACTTGGAGGCAGGGGTGCAAGTGATTTTGATCGATTCTCTTCAACAACTTTCTCTTTTAAAAAATAGTAGTATTGGATTCTTTAATTTTGAAAAATATATCGGTTTTTATATATTATCTGAAAGAGCTTCGTTTTCTGAGCACAGCGATATTTTTGTTTCGAGCCCACACACTTTCATCTCGATTTTTAAATCAAGATTTAAAGCGAAGACAACAAATCAAGAAGACTGGCAACTCTTCCATTTTCTCATACAAATGCTATGAGACAGGTACAATCGCGTCATCTGCCGCTCAAAGATAAATGCTTCGAACGAATTTGATAACAAAGATTACATCCTCAGAAGAAGGGTTTGTGTATTTGCTCATTTTTCTATGCGTTGCTTCCACCTTCACTCAAGTGCAGCGCTACTGTATCTGTCGCTTGGATTCTGGCAAAGTTGCCAGTCAGTTGTTGTCTTCGTTTAAAGCAAAATAATAACTTCACTGTTTGACAAACTGACATCTCGCTCCCATACAAAGTGAAACCGAGGGGCGCTAATAAAGTGATTTTTGCCAATGTAATCGTTCTTATTCAAAATAGTTCCAGTGTACCAAAATTGATGATTTTTTGGGTTTGGGTTCCATTTTTAATGCAGATTACGAATATGCATTTACCTCAATACCCTTAAAGAACCCAACCGTACCAACCTACAATTCAAAAACGGGAGAGTTGATCGATCAATTAAAAGGACTAAATGCTCTTCACATTTGTTCCGTCCACTAGCGGTCCTACGTCAAGTTTCCGTTCGTGCCTCTAAACACAGACCCTTCTACTTTTTTTTATTTGAGAATTTTTAAAGTCTGAAATTTCGAAAAGTTTAGTGATGTCATTTTTTGCGATATTCTCTCTCTCTCTTTCTCTCTCTCGATCCCTTCAACTAAGATTCAATATAATACATTTTTGGTTTGCGTGTAGTAGCTAAGAAAAATGCTACAAGCACAGCTATCATTTTTTAAAGCAGCGTTATATGCTGAATTGTTAGATTGTTATGAACAAAAACATTGAATTTCCCATATCAATTTCCATATAAACTTCAAATATTTTGTGCCAAGTCAGTTTCTTAACAAATTAATTCAAATATTGGGAGGCTAATCAAGACCCGATTTGGAACCGTTTGAGCACTGTGGAGCGAAAATTTTGCATCAGTCTACTGTCCATACTACGCAAGACTAGAGGCATGCTTGGCATACACAGTTTTGGTCACGAACTCCTCATTTGCTAATAACTTTGCACACAGTTGACGAAACATAGTTATTTTTGAAGCAGCAGACAAAATAGAGTTTAAGTTTGTTATAGATACGCAAAAAAGTAGATTTCAATTCCACTAATAAACTGTATTTGTTTTTGCGTTGTAAAAATGAAGTGAGAAATTCTCGGACTTTAAGTATAAAAATGAATTGGTGTTGGTTCAAATGTAAAGATTTATCTACTATTTGCATATCTATAGTAAACTATGGTTCTAATCATTTTTTTTTTCTTTCCTTGATTTGTTTTTCGTCGATCTTGTTTTCCGTGCTGAGCACCAATGCTACCGACGCCAGTGAGTTTCACACTGTGCCAAGAAGGAGAGACGGAACACAGTACAAGCCAGGTTCAATTTCAAATTCGTTTATCAATTTACAATCAATCAGTATTTGGCCAAATTGCATTCGGCCAAACGGCATTCGGGCAAATGACCCGGAACGTTACCCAGACAACCAGAATGCACGTATATTCAAAGTTGTTTTCGTGATATACAAACATATATACAAACAAACAATTCGTATATAATGCAAAGAAATGGCTTATACGTACAAAAGTGGAGGCCATATACGTGCATATTTTAATTTAATTTTAAACGAGTTGATTTAACATCATATACGATTTAATCTGTAATAACAAATTCATTTTGAAAAGTCTTACGATGTAATCCGATTTAATTTGTGATACAGTACACACTTAGAAAAAATCATGTAAATTTAGGTGCTCTGAGAGTGACATATACGAGCGTCAATTTTGACATAAATTTGAGTCATAACAGACGCGAAATATAGTCCAATCAAACGCACTTTTCGTCAACCAACGAAATTTTCAGTCTCGGAGCACCTAATTTTACATGACATGTTTGTTTACGTCTCATCTTTTATGTCAAAGACGGATTCCGTCACGTGTAAAATTAGTTATTTTTAAGTGTGTACGATGGAAAAATGAGTCATCGCATATTGGTCGGAAATTTGCATTCTATACGATTTAACTTAAACATAATGCGAGGTAGGTATGCCATTCTTATATGCGATTTTGACTAAAACTGTAGCAATTTACGATACTGTCTGTACATTATTATACAACTTCTGGTTGTCTGGGTAGTATTATGATGTGGCAAGTATAATCCTACTTTATGCCCACACACTTAGAAATAACTAATTTTACACGTGACGGAATCCGTCTTTGACATAAAGAATGAGACGTAAACAAACATGTCATGTAATATTAAGACGAGACTGAAAAGTTCGTTGCTCGACGAAAAGTACGTTTGATTGAGCTATATTTCGCATCTGTTATGACCTAACTTTATGTCAAAATTGACGCTCATATATGTCACTCTCAGAACACCTAAATTTACATGATTTTTTCTAAGTGTGCAGAGAAGTCGAGAAATTTTCAAACCCGAAAAATTCCTAGACCGGACTGGGAATCGAACCCAACCGCCTGCAGCAGTTGCAGTTGCCTTTATCAACCGAGCTAAGTGGGAGGTCCCCATTTAAGACACCTATATATAAATTTCATGAGTGCAGTTTTACCTTGGGTTTTACCAAGAATGAGTGACGGTGTTTTTCCTGGTCATAGCTGTTCGAATTGTAAGCGTGTAGCATACAATTTAAATAGGTATGACTAAAAACTATTGATTTTAATTTGAGTGTTTTTTCTGACTTTCAACGTAGTGCTTTGGATGCACTTCTACAGTTATTAATTGAGAGCTTTCTATGCCAACCAATGCATGCATTTGTATATTATGTGACAAGCACAAGGACCAATGAAAGATCTCCTCGACCGGATCGGGAATCGAACCCGCCGCCTCCGCCTTGGTAATACCGTGCCTTTACTGACTAGGCTAATAGGGTAGAAAGTTCAGGACTTATGATAATCTTCAAACCAGCATTGATTAATAATTAAGTATTTTAATATCTACGAACCAGTCTTACGTACTTATTCGTCTGCACGGATGTGTGTGTCCTTCCGGGCGACGTCAATTACCGATTTTTATCCTGCAGATAATTACTCCTCCGTTTTGGAACTCGTCCTTGCTAGGCACCAAACTAAAAGCACTTTATTTCAAGCTTGTTTCTCCTTTCACTTTCCCGACCGGTTGTTTTTCTTCGTCACTTAGTGACCACGTAATAATCCCAACCAGAGGCCTTCTAATTACACAATCAAATATATCCTGGGTGAATCACTGCTTCCCAGTCATTTTTTTCCTGACATGATTAGCTTTCTATGTATATCCTCTTTGCGTCTTTGCACTATCCAATGTGACCGCAAAGCAAAATGGCAACAGACGATGAGAATCCTTGCGAAAATGTATGTCGCCCTGTTTTTCACAGAATCCGCATATGAAATCCCCGATACTACGCCACACCGACCGACGGACCGAGGAAATTCTTGCGCAAAATATTCTTTACACGCCTATAACTAAGAAAATTGCTGGAACTATCTATCTACCCGAAACACACACTCACACCCGTCCTCTTTCGCGAAACCGGAAAATTGCACTTTGTCTTGTCACTTTTAGTAGAAGGAAGTTCAATTATTTCGCCAATAAATGCCAACTGATAGCCATTGAACAATTTTCCTCCGCGCAACACAATTTTTAATTGGATGCCGATGTTATGCCATCCGCCAAGAGTCGCTCAACACGGTAGTGTGTTCTGAAACTTTTCCTTCTACAGGAGGCCACCCCTGCTGCTACTACTCGCGCTCGCTCTCTTTCTCCTGGTTGGATTTTCCGTGAATTTTCTTCCAAGCTCTCACACGCGTGAAACCTCTCCACTGCCTGACTTCAGCTGGCAACAACTGGCTTTTCAACCATACAAACAGCTGCTCTGCCTAGAAAATACCCACATCGTTGGTTGCTAGCGTCTCGAGAGCTACTGACTGTTGACTACCCTTCCGGTTGCTGCTGGAACAAATGTTGTGGAAAACATACTAGAACCGACAAGAGAGCGGAAAATTGTCTCACTCTGTTGTCCTTTTTTTCCCTTTGCTACGGGACACTCTCTTGTCTCTTGTTTTTCTTCTCTGGTGGAAAATATTCCACCTATCGCATACCATCCCCCTTATTGGGTGGTTGTGTATCAGCATGCGGCTTGCTCCGATGGGACGAGGGGTGTAGCGATGCTGAGGAAATGTTATTGAGCATATATTTAGAATAGGTTTGTGCATAGGCAGTGTGTGGTGCACACTATATGGCGGATTTTTTATCACCGATTTTCGATCTCTATAGGTCACTTGAAAAGTATTAACTGAAATATAGTTCGTAGGTAACTGGTTTAATATACTTTACAATTTTTGTATACTATAACTTTTCATATAGTTACAACATTTTTCAAAATTTATGTACACTGAATTTTCATGACTGATTTTCTGAAAATTGGGTTGGTTAAATTTTAACGCTGTTGTAAGTTTACTTGAAATTTTTGTATAAATATATGGACAAGTATGATGAGCCAAATTAAATTTATTCTGTAGCATCACCACAAAGAATTACTAAAAATTCGCGGACCTCTGGCATCTCTTGTTACGAATTTACCACTATTTCGGATATTCCTTATATTCCGGAGGCCAGCAAAGTAACTAATGCTTGTTCTAGATCCAAACTAATTCATGCATTATCACAACGAGTGCATTAAAAATAGTGGAGCTTAAGAATATTTTTTAACGAATTTTTCACTTTTACGGATGTTCCAGATCTTCCGGACGACTGTTCCGTGACAGAGCAGAGTGGACATGCTGGTCTCAAATCCAAATTCATTCATATAGCTTCACAACAAGTGATTAAAAACAAATCGCGGAGGTCTAGAATATTTTTTACGAATTGATCACTTTTACGGATGTTCATAATCATAATCACAACAAGCTCTGCGATCAGTTTTAGCTCGAAGTTCGACGATAGATTTAGCAACTACCGGTGTGAAAGTTAAATACATAAATTAACAATCGTGATAGCACAGACAAACAGACGTAACTCTTTGAAAAAGTTATTCTTGGAAACATAGTATCTCAAAACATAGGTCCTCAGTAACGACATCTCTCTGGCTTCTCGCGGAAAACAAGCTTGCTCGCTAACTCGCAAACAATATTGCATAAAAGTTCTATAGAATGTATAGAAACGTCAAAGTGATCCGATGCCAGCGCTGCGGCGAGTAGTTCGCGGAACTGATAATATTCAAATCAACCGTTAAATACGTGAACGAAGATACACAATGAAGTGTTACGTCTGTTTGTCTGTGGTGATAGCAACGACCGGTGCGAAACCTGGTTGCTAACTAAAATAGCAACGGCTAAGAACAACCGTACCAGTCGTTGCCATTTGCGGCACTATTTTACTTACGCACAGCGTTTCCATTTTGGCTTAATCACTCCTCTCCACACCGGTCGTTGCTATCAGAGTCATAATTTAAGTTACCGTTTTCCACACCGGCAAAACAAACATTTGACGTTTATTCAAAATAGCAACCGTCTGATGCGTTGCTACCGGGTTGCTAAATTTATGAACTCACTACTTCCCAAGGTACGGATTGCTATTTCCCCCACCTGAATAGCAACCCCCGGTACGCAAGTAAAGGTTGGTAAATGTGCCTTATTTACTCATTGGTACGGTTGCTCTGAATACAGGGTGGCCAGCAAACCGGGAATACCGGGAAATATACGGGAATTTGTAAAGTAACCGGGAATTCGACGAGAGAACCGGGAAAATAAATTAACCATACCAAAGGATCAAATGTTTACACCATAATTTCAGAATAAACCATTAAAACAGAGTGATCCTTTACCAAATGAATGTCTTGCTCCATTTGCTGCATAATTATCTTCAGTTTGCCGTCTTGTCGTTTTCATAATTTAATCACTCAGCAATATTGCAAATTAATTTTTGTCGTTTCAATTTCAGATGTAAAGTGCATGGTCCTTAAAAGAAAATATTGAAGATGCTGGACTTTGGAAACCAACATTTGTTAAAACCGAAGCTTTATTATTCTTTCCCGGGATTTTAATTTTTCGTTGTTCAAAATTCTCATTATATGAATTCCAGAATTAACTTGTTCTGAAATAAATCAGAAAACACTCAGCGTAATAATTGCCGTTGAATTCCCCTTGCAACCCCTTCTAAGAATTAAATTTGAATCCTTCTTAGAATTACCTTGAGCCTATTCGGAAACTTTGATTCCTTTGAAAATCTTTTGAAACATTTCTTTTAATTCTATTCAAAACAGCAGAAATTTTCCGAAATTTTATTTAGAAGCCCCTTGGAGTATTTTAAAGAATTTCTTTCTAATTATCAGCAAATTTTTGCAATCAATTTTGTTGGAGTTCTGTGATGAATCTTTCGCACTAGGGTTGAAATTATTGCCAGAACAATCTTAGAACTCTTTTTCTTGTTGAATTCTGATCATAATTTTCTTGGAATTCTTCTTAAAATTCATCTGTCATTTTCCCCCATACAAATCGGCTCAGAATAACGTAGGAATTTTCCGCAAAGTTTTATTTTTCACAATTCTTTTTTAAATCTTCTAAAATTACCTAACCATTTAATTTAGAACTTGTATTCTTCTCCACAGAAATCCCTCCAAATTCAGCTAACAATTTCTAAGGATTTCATGTCAGAATAATTCTGAAATTCTGCTCAGGGTTCCAGGGTTTTTCCGCTAGATTCTATAGATTGTTCTGTAATTTTTTATAACCCTTAAAATGCTTCCAAGTCTCGGAGCGTGACAATTATGACTCCACGACTCATAAGTATAATATTTTCTTTTTCAAATCTGTGATCTTGAAAAATTTTCAAAATTTCACATTTTAATCATGTTTTCTTCAAATCTTGCATCACAAAGATTGTATTAATCACAAATTTTGAAAAAAAAAGTTTAGTTTCAGACTCCACAAAAATTTTAAAGCCCAGAATCTTGGGAATCTTCTAAAATCATTTTTTCAGTAAATTCCTTTCAGCACGTTCTTAAAAAGGGGTTGAAATTCGTTTTTTGTTGAATATTAACAACCCGGGATTTTTTTAAGATTTGAACCGGGAAAACCGGGAAAAAACCGGGAATTTCAAAATGAAAATTCACTGGCCACCCTGTGAATAGCAACGCACCGGTGTGGGTGGTTTTATGGTTCAAAATGAGTAGTAACATTAATATTTGTAACATGAAATGTGGAATGTGTACTGTTAATTTATTGCATTGGTAAAGTACATAGCATATACCACTCATTTTTGCAGGCCACAGCCTTTGGACAGTGGACTGGACACCTCGTATGACTTGATCAAGTACGATACTTAGTTGTATTCAATTTACCATTGTATCAAGGGCCAAAAACGGAGCGTGGACCCGTAAGCAGAGATGCTTACGCGGTATCCACGGAAGCAAGAAGAATCCAATGATAAAAATGTTCCGACCCGATATAGAACAAGCCATCATACGAGAGGATGTCCCAATGAGTGGGGAGAAGAGCCCACCTTCAATTCACGAAATGTTAACAACAGGGAGTTGGCAATTCCACTCTCCCGAGCTCCCCATCCAAATCGCTTCAATCGTAGCACAAAAACGTCACTTCTAATCGAAATGACGTCTGATACAAAGTTGTTTATAAAAGTAAAGTCTTTCTGGGAAGAACATACACGGTAATTTTTTTTAAGTAATTTTGTTCCAAAAAAAGTGTAAAAATCTGAAATAGGGGAAATGTCTCTAAGGCCACTATGGATCTAACATTGGGCCCATCGCTAAAAATCTGCTATTTATCAATTTTATCTAGATAAACGCGTCATTGGGGCGGTATTATTGGATATTTTTGGTCACTATTTAAAATTTAGTCGATTGTTGAATTTATGTATGGGCCCAAATTAGGGGCATTTAGGCCGACATTACACCCATTTCCCCTATCTCAAAAAATATATCTTCAATATTTATAATATATTTTTTAATAAAGCTCACGAAAATGCAAACCTTTGAAGTATTTAAAACCATGAACACTGGAAAATTAACAAAAAATCGTGGAACATCAAATTTTGGTCAGATTTATATAAGGATTTAGAATGTCTCAAATATTATTTCCTATGTAAAAATTACATAAAATGTGTACTAACTAAAAGTTAAAAAAATTATCAAAAATTCTTGTACAACGATTTTTGGAAATTTTCAAGTTTCCATGGTTTTAAAAATTCTAAAAGTTTGCATTTATTATGATTTTTTTATTTTAAATATAAACATTGAAGTTATAATGAAGTAATGAAATTGGGTTGTTAGCGGAATGCTTAAATGAAACAGCAAAAAAGGCTATCTTCCATTTAATTGCACTTAATTAATTTTGGTATCTATGACAGATACGTATTTCGCCTATAATGTGAAAAATTGAAGATATACTTTATGAGATATTTCGATCAGAAGTGACGTTTTCGTGCTACAATTTATTGCCCATAACTCACAATTATGTAAAGTTTTATGCAAATCGGAGAAGGTCGAGTTTTTCCGATTCGTCATTTGGCTGAAGGGTCACCATAAGTGGATTAATTCAGTTTTTTAACGACGTTTCCTGAAGTTCAACAATGTATCTACGGAACTCCCTGACCTGATTCAAGTCCATTAAACTTCAACGAAGTACTTTGAATTTAAAAGAAGGTCCCCAACTTATATGAAGTTAACTGAAATTAAAAAAAAGGATTCCCGATTTTTTACTAAGTTCCTTGAATTTCTACAAAGTTCTCTGAAGCTCTACAAACTTCCCCGAATGTCTGCTAATTTCCTGCATTTCTACGATGTATCCTGAACATCTACGATGTCCTTGCAGTTTTACAATGTTCCCTGATGATAAAGAAAAATCTCTGAACGGCAATGA